TGAGCCCAGGAGTTTGAGGTTGCTGCCACAGCACTCACTCTAGCCTGGGCAACAAAGTGAGACTCTGCCTTGGGGGTGGGGGGAGGGGAAGCTATTTATAGTCAAATGTCTTCAAAAGTCCATTTGTTCATTCATTATGACAAAAGAAATTACTAAAACACATACACCTAAATAAGCTTAAATTTTACTTTCATTTACAGTATCATCATATATCTCGTATTAACAGTACTGTTAACATTATTTTTGGACTAACTGGACATGATGGGGTAGTATAATATTCATGACACCTCAAAACTCAAAAGTGTACAACAGATTAACAAGACAGGAAGAAAAATGATTTGCCATGATGAAAATAACATCTATTGGTGGAAGAAAGGGTGATGTATTTTTACCCTGCCATTTGACTTCATCATTTCAATCAATATTTTATTTTATTTTAATTTTTTGTAGAGACAGGGTCTCGCTATATTGCCCAGGCTGGTCTTGAACTTGGACTGCCAAAGTGCTAGGATTACAGGTGCGAGCCACTGCGCCCAACTTCTATCAATATTTTAAACAGAAAGTTAGTAAGTAGAAGAGCTTCTGAGGTTTACTGGCACATTGCCCTTACTACATCACCGGCACATTTTGCAGATTAAACTCATAAAACCAAAAGATAAGGTATAATTCTAAAACCTCCCATTCTGGGTATATCAGCATGTTGCCAGTTTAACAATCTATTGCGAATCTTGGTCAAAAATTCCTTTTGTCACTTTCATGTAAAAAGAAATAGTTTTCTGCGACTTTTCAAATTTTAACAGTTTACAGCTTCAAAATATTTAAAAATTACTGTGTATTTAAAACATAAACCAAGATTAGTTTTTCAATATTAAATTTAGACTTACAATACTTACATAGTCTGTCAAATTTCTCTTTTGTGAGAACCACTTTATTCCATGTCCATTCAAGAACAAAGCGCAAATTAGCAGCAGAATTTGGTTGTTCTTATTTTGTTAATAAGAAAGAAAAAATAAAAAATGATTATTAACTACAAACAGAAGACTAGCAACTTTTCAGTAAAGAATCATAGCAGACAGCACCCATACCAAGAGAACAAAGTTAACATCAACATTTAATGGAGACAAATTGATGTAAGTATCCTTCTCAGCACATCAAGGATCCTATCATTTTAGGTAGTACTGCTATCAAAAAATGTAAAACCTAGATCTAATCATGAGGAAAGAACAATAACACAAATTCAAAAGCTGTGTACAAAGTAACATGCCCATATTATTTAAAAATAAAAAAGTCAGCCGGGCGCGGTGGCTCACGCCTGTAATCCTAGCACTCTGGGAGGCCGAGGTGGGAGGATTGTTTGAGCTCAGGAGTTCGAGACCAGCCTGAGCAAGAGCGAGACGCCGTCTCTACTAAAAAATAGAAAGAAATTAGCCAGACAACTAAAAATATATAGAAAAAATTAGCTGGGCATGGTGGCACATGCCTGTAGTTCCAGCTACTTGGGAGGCTGAGGCAGGAGGATTGTCTGAGCCCAGGAGTTTGAGGTTGCTATGAGCTAGGCTGATGCCACGGCACTCTAGCCTGGGCAACAGAGTGAGACTCTATCTCAAAAAAATAAAAAATAAAAAAATAAAAAAAGTCAATTTCTTGAAAGACAAAAGTTTAGAAATTGTACAAGATTAAGAAAGATTAAAAAGACAACACAAAGCATGATTCTGAACTCTCCTCAAAAAAATGCCAGAAAGAACATTATTGGGACAATTGGCAAGATTTCAATAAGGTCTTAGGTTAGATAACAGTATATATCAGTGTTAATTTTCTTGATTTTTTTATAATCACCAAGTGGTTTTGTAAGTGAATGTCCTTATTCTTAGAAGAAAACAATCCTGAAATATTTATGGGTAAAGAAGTCTGATGTCTTATTCTCAATTGGTACACAACAAAACACAATGTGTGTAATGAGTGAGAATGATACACAGAGCAGTGTGCATGAATCCCTAGACAATTTCGCTAAGTTAAAAAAGTTAATCCCAAAAGGTTACATACCGTATGATTTCATTTATAAATGTATTTTAAAATGATAAAATTATAGAGATAGTAGTTGCCAGAGGTTAGGGATGGGGGTGGGGGGTAGGTATGGCTATAAAAGGGCAACATGAGGGACCCCGTTGTGACATACTAAAGGTCTGTCAGATTGTACCACTGGGGGAAAATGTGAAGAGTACACAGGATCTCTGTATTATGCCTTAAAACTGCATGTAAATCTACAAGTACCTCAAAAAAATAAAAAGTTTTACTAAAAACACCCAACCAACAGTGAACTGATAATTTTAAATACACAAAACAAACATTTTAATTGTTAAAAATCAGAATCTTACCTTCTGCTATCCATCTTTTGATACAACCAGTCAAAAGTCCCAGGGAACTTGTCTGAATTGCTGCTGACAATATAGCTTCTAACTGTTCTTCCTAAACCATGCATTAAAAAAACGAGAGAAATGTAAAGAAAGAGGATATGAATTTAGAGGCAGCAAGTTCTAATTCAGAATAAAAAATTTTAAAGACTGAAAAATGATTATGACCACTAGGATGGCTATAATCAATAAGACAGATAATAACAGGCATTGGTGAAAATGTGGAAAAACTGCAACCTTCATACACTGCTGTTTGAATGTAAAATGGTACAGTCGCTTGGCAAAACAGTCTGCAGTTTCTCTACATGTTAAACACAAAGTTACCATATGACCCTGCAATTCCACACCCAAGTACATATCCAAGAAAAATGAAAATACCACGTCCACACAAAAACTTTGCATGAAGGTTCATAGAAGCATTATTTATAATAGCCAAAATGTGGAGACAACCCAAATGCTCACCAACTGTAGACAAACAAAACATGGTATTTGCATAGAAAAGAATATTACAAAGCCATAGAATGGGATGAAGTACTGATACTTGCTATAACAGATGAACCTTTAAAACATTATGGTAAATGAAAGAAGCCAGTTACATAAGACTACATATTATTTGATTTCATTTATATGAAATTTCTAGAATAGATCAGTCTGTAACGACAGAAAGTAGATTAGTAGTTATCTATCCTCCTGCCTCAGCCTCCTGAGTAGCTGGGACTACAGGCACACACCATCATGCCTATGTAATTTCTTCTATCTTAGTAGAGACAGGGTCTCACTCTTGCTGAGGCTGGTCTCAAACTCCTGACCTCAAGCTATCCTCCCACCTCGGCCTCCAAGAGTGCTAGGATTACAGGTGTGAGGCACTGCGCCTAGCCAAGATAAAAATTATTAATCTGTTACTGACCCATTTTACATACGAACAGACAACCAAAGTCCACTAAACATTTGAGGATAGCCACCAGCATCAAAAAGACCAAAATAATATAAGAAAAATGACTCCAGAGAAAAGAGAGAGAATACCGAAAACAAAATAAAACTTTAAACATATATGGAAGACATTTTATCCATAAAAACAAGAACAAAACTCTACGAAAAGAGAATCATCAAAGAGTAAGAGCTCACAGAAATTAAAAATGAAGGTCAATTTTTAAAAAATCTGATAGGAAAAAGGGAAGATAATAATAAAGAAATGCTAGCCTAAGCAAGAGCGAGACCCCGTCTCTACTAAAAATAGAAAGAAATTAGTTGGACAACTAAAAACATATAGAAAAAAGTAGCTGGGCATGGCGGCACATGCCTGTAGTCCCAGCTACTGGGGAGGCTGAGGCAGGAGGATCGCTTGAGCCCAGGAGTTTGAGGTTGCTGTGAGCCAGGCTGAGCACTCTAGCCCGGACAACAGAGTGAGACTCTGTCTCAAAAAAAAAAAAAAAGAAAGAAATGTCACAGATATAGAACAAGAAATAAACAGCTGGAAAGAAAGGATAAGCTATTAGAAGATCAACTCTAGTTAGACAACATTTGCGTAATGAGGTTCCATAAAAAGAAAAATCAAAATGAGGGGAAGTACAATAAATAAAAGGAGGGAGGAAAGGAAAAAAAATCTCCTCATGTTAATAGTATTCAGTGTTCCTCTTTACTTCCATGAAATTAAGTATTAAATTCCAACTGTGAGTGCTGAACTATCAGCAACAACATTTACATTTCATCTGATATTTAAAAGTCTCTATTACTAGCAACTCATAAAGATGAATTTAGCTGTGTCACCAGGCAACTCTGCTTATTCTAAGAATGTCTCCTGATTGGGACTAGTAGAACCGTGAGTGGACATTAACTTCCATTAGGAAGTTAAGATTTTTGGCTTCCATGACTGAGTCTAACTCCTGTAACTGACCATGTCTTTAGTTGAAGGAACTTGGAATACTACTAATAGGCTTTCATAAGACACTGGTTACTACTGAACAATGGCTATCAAATTACATCCCACGGAGGGCATGTTAAAACATAGATTGTTGGGCTCTACCCGCAGAGTTTATGATTTAGTAGCTCTAGGGTAGGAACCAAGACCTTGCATTTCTAACAAGTTCCCAGGTGAAGCTGATGCCAGGGACCACACTCTGTTGCTCTAAACCACAAAATTCACCTAAGCCAAGAGGGTTTCCACTAATGTGGTCTCATTCTCTTGCACCTATGCTGTTCTCTCTGGGGGCTTGAAAATGGCCCCTAGACTGCAATAAGGACTTCTGTTCATGACATGCCTACTGCAGTCATGATGTATTTCCTGTCCTATACCCTTCTAAGTGAACCTGCTGCCCAAGTTAAGGCCTACTGGGTCTTAGGAGTACGAATTTTAAGCCAAACCCAAGACCGCAGCTACTGATCATCCAGAGTGGGTGTTATGCTACTTCACCTACATTTACAGAAATTATCTAATAGATTTTTTTATGTAATAGAAAGCTAATAATATGTGGTCCAACAGAAAGAAACAATATAGTTAAAAATCATCTCACTTGACTTAAACTGGAAGGCTGAATATCAATAAGTCTTGGTGAGAGAAGACCAGCTATGAGACATCGATTATAACCATCAGGAATGACTTCATTGAGAGATGGCCCTGATTTCTTTAAAAAAGTCAAAGTCTGTAATAGATAAATCAATAAGACATCAAACAATATTCAATTCAAACCATCAGATTTAAGAATTAATAAATTACTCTACACTTTAAATTTGAATAAAACTAAGACACCAAATGGAAATTATGAAAGACTACATTTTCTTGCAGGGAAAGGGGATTGGTTCTTGCACTAATCAAGGCCTACCAGTTATAAATGATAACACTATAAACAAGGGTATTTTAGGTAGCGTATGTTTTTATGAATGGTAACCCTGTTGTCTTCTCTAAAGCTGATAGACTTGGTAACATCTTGACAAACTTGACACACACAAAAAAAAACCTCCTGCAATTGATTCCTCTTTGTCTAATGTAAAAGAGATTTGATGTGAATCAAATTCATTCATCCACATCTGACTGATAACCAATTAAAAGGTCTGCCACGTCCTCTTCCCCTAGAAAAGTATTTTTCAACATACATTTTTTCTTTTTTCCTGTGCCAAGCAATGTGCCACTGTGCTACGTACCTTCTTTGTATTACCTAATTTCCTCATAGGCTCTCTGAGGAGATTTAAGAGGAAGGACAAACAAGATTGTGATAAAGCACTGACCTACTTCACTCTTTTCCTTGGGGTTCAAGTAGCTAAAATCCATAGGAAGCTATTAAAAACATTCCACTATCCCAATGCCTCTTCTGGCAGGTTTCATTAGTAACTGAGGCTACTAGCTGCTAATCTCATAAACCTAGCAGAAGCTACCATTTAAGATGAAACAATTGTCTATATAATTAACACTAAATAAAGTTTAGATCCATGAATCAACTGTATTCCAAAATGTGAGTTCAGTTCAATAAAGAAATATTCAGTCCACATTGCTAGTTGTTACCTACCTCTTTCTGAAAGCCAGTACAAGTTACATGAACAACTCCTGAGTTTAATAAACAAGTAGCATCTAAAAAAAAGATTTAAAAAATTCACTTACATATATTTAAAATGGCATTAATACAACAAAATTTTCCAAATAACAGACCGCTAGGCAAATTGTCCAATTATTACATATAATAAATTTTAAAATAAACTTTCCCATATATTTTCATCCTGAGAATAGATAATAAACCTTATTATTATAATACAAATGTATTAATTGTGAAATAATATCTTTTCTAGCAAATTCAAAATAGTATAATTTCTATATAAAACATAAATATTAAATTTCTCATGTACATATATCAAATTAATTTCCTAAGTTATCTATATGTTAATTAACAATAGCTAGATATGAACAGATAACAGGACATGTGTAAACTACACACAAATATACATGTCTACACACTTTTGCATGTTACTTTTCTCAAAAGGTAATGTTAAGGAAATACATACCAAAATTATAAGTGCTTGGGTTAAAATACTGCTCAGGAGGTGGATATGAAGGAGGAACTCCTCGACTTAAACTTCTCTCATGTATTAATATATCCAAGATGTAATGTGGATAAGTCCTATTTACAACAGAATCCAGTGACCACAGAGCAAAATAAGAGCAATTATGCAGATATTCTCCAGATCTAAAAGAAAATTCAAAACGATACTAAGTTTTGATCAGCAACACATACAAATACCGAAAAGAGAGAGAAAGAAGGAAAAAAAGAATCATACCTTAATGAATCTGGCATTTGTGCATGATACCAACGATTTATGTCGAAAAGTCCCAAATACATAGAAGGCTTTCCCTGTCCATATATATTCACTTGCCAGGTAAAGACTGAAACACTAGTATCAGGAGATAGAGCTGGGGAAAAAAAAAAGGTAAAAAGATATACAAAATGGCCAATAAACATGAAAAAATGCTCAACATCACAAATCACCAGGGAAACGCAAATTAAAACCGCAATGAGATACCATCTTACTCCAATCAGAATGGTCGTTATTAAAAGGTTAAAAAACAACAGATGTGGTGAAAAAGGAGTTTATACAATGTTGGTGGCAATGTAAATTAGTATTAATGCAACCTCTATGGAGATCAATATGGAGATTTCTCAAAGAACTAAAGTAGATCTACCATTCAATCCTGCAATCCCACTAGTGAGTATCTACCCAAAGGAAAAGAAATTATATCAAAAAGATACCTACATTCCTATGTTTATCACAGCACAATTCACAATCACAAAGATATGGAATTAACCTGAGTGCTCATCAACCAATGGAGCGGATAAAGAAAATGTGGTATGTATATTCGGCAATAAGAAAGAATTAAATAATGTCTTTTGCAGCACCTCAGATAGAACTGGAGGCCATTAACCAATGTATAGTAACTCGGGAACAGAAAAATAAATGTCACATGTTCTCACTTATAAGTGGGAGCTAAACTATGGCTATGCAAGGACACACAGAAGAGTATAATGGACACTGGAGATTCTAAAGGGGGGAAGAGGAGGTAAATAAGGGATGAAAAATCACCTATAGGGTACAATGTACACTAGAGTGAGGTAATCGGTATACTAAAAGCTCAGACTTCACCACGATATAATATACACATGTAACAGAATTCAATTTGTACCCCATAAATCTATTACAATTTTTAAAAAGGAAAAAAACTCACTTCTATCATTTGTATGAAAAAAGAGATTCATTCACTTGTATCTTGAACGTTTCTCTATCTTAAGACATTATTAAAAAATAATTATCAAAAAAGTTTTATCCTGGCTTTGTCTTCAGGTTAACATCTGAGCAACTTTGAGGTATTGGAGGCAGAAAGTAGGAAATGAATTAAATGAATAGTATCCCAAGGATGGTACATAACTAGTACTACAGAAGTTAATTTACTGCCTAAAATGGATGCCTTTGGGCGTTAAGGCTTAATTCTTCAGAGGAACCTCGGCTAGGAAGGACTGATCTAGTTACATGGTAAAGGAAAAAGAAAAGACAAGTACTTGGATTGTAGGTGTGGAATGGAAAACAGGAACAGATTAAGAGATACCAAGAGGTAAAGACAGTAAAAATCTGAGACACTACTAATTGGAAATAGAAAAAGGAAGATTGTGAATGGGGAATAAAAAGAACTCATGACGAGTTCTGTTTTTGACATATTTAACTGGATCACAAACACAACAGATGTGGGAACTAGGACAGAGAGCATTTCTGGGCTAGATAAGAAATGCTTATGAATTCATTCATAAGAAAGAATTCCAATAAGAACACAAATACATGCTCGCTTTGGCAGCGCATATACTAAAATTGAAACGATACAGAGAAGATTAGCATGGCAACTGTGCAAGGATGACATGCAAATTTGTGAAGCATTCCATGTTTAAAAAAAAAAAAAAGAACACAAATACAACCAAGGCCCTGGTGAGCATTCCCAGAACTGAATGAGCCTACCATGTTATCTCATTTAATCCTCATAGCCAGGCTCTGCAAAGGGTATAACTGTATTATTCCACTTACAGAGGGGAAACTGGACTCCAAAATATTAAATAATTTGTCAAAGGTCACAACTAGTGACAGAGCCGGAATCTGAATCAATGCTGGATTCAAAAATTTATGCAACTTTTACTATGCTAGGATGTTTTACCAGGAAGAAGGGATGACACTAATGGAGACAGAAAAAAATTCAAGGCAACTAAGGCATTTTTTGCCATATATGTTCAAAAAACACACAAAGGGAAACATTATTCAAAGACTAGTCACACTAGTTAAGACCAGGGACCACCTTTCTTTGTCTGTTTTGAGAGCTAGATTAAAGTAAAAGGGTCATTCATTACCCTAATCTATTCAATTCTTGAGTTCCATATAGCAATCTGGACAGCAAGAAATATCTCATACAGACCTAAATAAATTCCTTAATTAGTATTGTAATCTTTTTTAACTGCCAGGAGTATGAACTCTAAAAACCAATACCTGTCATGAACCTTAAGATATATCTAAAATCAAGCTTTCACATGACGTAATTAGAGTACTTTTAACCAACCTTCATTCATGCCTTCCTCCCTGTCACCATGAGATCGAAATTTCTCTATACTCTGGCATCCCAACAATTTGGTATTACTAGTCTGTCCCCTCAAAGGAAACATGCCATCTGTCAGGTCCAGTGTGTATCTTTCTTCACAGTACTCTAACCCCTGTAACACAAAATGTACATAAACCTTAATGGGATTCAAAGCAAAAGGTCATTTTAAAACTAATATCTGGAGCAGGTATCATCAGTAAAAACTAAAAATAAAAAAATATATATATATAAATTAAATGTTCTCCAAATTTAAAGATTTTTTCACACAATATGAAGAAAATATAAAATTTAGATTGAAGAGAAAAAAAAAATCACTGAAAAAGGCTGTTCCATACTATAAAACACAAATTAAAAAGCTAGGTTTAGTCTTTCAAAAATAATTACCAACCAACCTTCTAAAGTTGTTATCAAACACAGGAACTCTCACGCACAACTGGCTGGAATATAATCTGGAATAACCATCAAATTTATATGTGCATATACCCAAGGCCAACAAACCTATTCCTGTGTTCTTACTGAAATTCTTGTTCTAGAATAGTACTTAAACTTCTTTTTTGCTTATTGATCCCTTTAAGAATTTGACAAAAGGCTATGAGACTTTCCCCAGAAAAATGCATGATCACAAAAATGTCATACATAATTCAGGTACTTTATGTATTGCCTGAAATCCATCAATATACCTCTCAAACACCAGATTAAGAAAACCTGTTTTTGGAGACAGGTATGTGAGATTTGGCAAATATGGCTATTAGCAGCACCCCTACTGTTTCCTCAGGAATTCAGAAAAAAAGGCAGTCATCTGAAAGTCGAGATGCATATACCCTCTTCTAATGTCTCCCCATGGCTTACTGCTCGATAGATGAACAAAGTGGGACTGTTTTTCCTTGGTATGTTAAGCCACAAGCTTGAGTCTAGTTCATTCCCCTCATTGTGGAGGAAAATGACACCTAGAGAAGAGTGCTACCTTGGTAAAATAGTTAAAACAGACTTCTATCAGATATTCTGATCTAGAGATTAGAAGATCTCTAATGTACAATAATACTTCTTCTACTACACTATGAATACAGTATTAACTTGAATATAAGAATAGCTTTTCAATTATCTTAAAAACATTTAAAATCGGGAAATAATGAAAAAAATGGTAACATAAACCCATAATACAATTACCTCATATAAGATCTGTCCCGATGCCAAACACTTTCTATCACCAAAGGCCAGCTGAAGTAGATGCAAACTCAAAACATCCCCTTCACTGAAAGAAACGGAAATTAACCGAGGAAATACACTATCACATTAATACATTAAACATCTCTTACTGTCTAAAACTAAGATCACTGTGAAGAATTCAGATTTGGTTGTTTTCTTTTTCTTTTTGAAACAGAGTCTTGCTCTGTCACCCAGGCTAGAGTGCCGTGGCATCAGCCTAACTCACTGCAACCTCAAACTCCTGAGCTCAAGTGATCCTCCTGCCTCCTGAGTAGCTGGGTCTACAGGTGTGCACCACCATGCTCGGCTAATTTTTTCTATTTTTAGTAGAGTCTGGGTCTCGCTCTTGTTCAGGCTGGTCTTAAAATCCTGAGCTCAAGCAATCCTCCTGCCTCAGCCTTCCAGAGTGTTAGGATTAGAGGAGTGAGCCACCATGCCCAGTCGGTTGTTTTCATAAAATGTAATCCTTTGAAACAATAACTGATTTTTACTTTTCACTGGTTCTAATAAACTAAACTGATGCTATTTACATACTCTAGGTGGTATCTTATGTGGCAGAGACTATAATTGTTTACTCAATATTCTTTCTCAAATAGGTATGTTTTAGTTAGACACATGGCTGCCTAAAATATCCACTACATTTCCCAGCTTCCTTTGCAGCTAGGTGTAGCAGCCCTGTGGCCAAGTTCTGGCCAATGGGATATAAACAGAATTACCCCATGCCAATTACAGAGAACATTCCTTAATTGGCAACATGTCCTTTGCTCCTTCTTTCTGGTCTCTTTCTCCATCTTGCTATTCTACTTAAAATGAAGACGTTGCTCTAGACCATGAGAATGGGAGCTATATAATGAAGGCACAAAGCAAAGATATCAAATCAACCCCCTACTACTCAAGTACACAGTATACAAGTGTTAAGAGCACAGATTCTAGAGCCACAACATATGAATTTGAATTCTTATTACTAGCTGATCCTTCTTAAAATATTTCTTTTACTTGGCTTCTAGCACACCATACACTCTCCTGATGTTCCTCATACCACACTATCTACTTCTTAGTCCTTTGCTGGCTACCTTGTCCTTTTGTTCTCAATCTCCAAGTATCTCTAAGTATTAGAGGGTTCCAAGGCTCAGTTCCTAGATCTCTTCTTTTCTATATTTCTCATTCATTCTAGGCCATTGGTTCTGAACCCTGGTCGTTTATTATTAGAATCACCAGAGAAGCTTTGAAAAAATACTAATGCTTAGGCCTTACCACCACAAACTGATTTAACTGGCCTAAGATAGCCAGATCAAATTTAAACACTTTCTTTATTCTGGCCTACATATTCCTATATGTAAATGAGTTCTATTTTCTGGCCTCATCTTTCTTTTCTGGCCTTATCTATAATTACTCTATGCTCTACTCTTACTGGTCTTGCTTTTCCTTGAGACATTTCACTAAGACCTGTGTGTGCATCCTTCCCTCCCAGATTTTTCCATAGCTCTCCCAGTTCCCTGCCCCAGCTTCATTCAAATCTTTCTGATTACACTATCTAAAGTAGGAGGAACCTCTACTCCACCATACTCTACATCCTCTTTCCCAGTTTTATTGTTTTGCATTTAACATTGTTACCTGAAATTACATTAAATGTATGTACTATTCTTATTTATCTACTATCTTTCTTCCCACTGGAATATAAGCTCAAGAAGAACAGAAATTTTATCTGTCTTATGCATTGCTATATTCCCTAGAACAGTTACTGGTGCACAGTAGCTGCTCAATAATTGTATTAAATGCATAAATACATGGCCATAAAGCAAACACAAATAGCCTCTAAAATCCAGTAACAGGATAGATTGCATATAACCAACATTAAAGGGAATACCAGCTTTTTCATTCACTTTTCCATATTATGGAACTAAATGTGACTTTTATTATAATTGATAAGCACTATGGCAATAATTTAAGATCTATACCCATGTAATTTTATGGGTATATTACTGATATACCCATTGTAGAGTGAATACAATGATTCTTTTTCCTCTTTTATTTTGTTCAAATGATCACTCTGATGGAGGGAAAAAAGACCATACCACCTGTCTTTCTGATTTAGACTTATAAACTAAATATATGTAATATTTATATTTTAATCTACTTATAATACCAATAAGGTGCTGGAAGATTCAATGACCAGGGGTGAGTGTGAGGGAGAACAGACATGGTATCAATAAACACCTCTGTAAAATAAGAGATTAGTCTCAGAATGACTCAAAGCAGGATTCCTAACCTGTGGTCCCATGGACAAACTTAGGGTAGTCTGTGAGCTTCCTTAAATTGTATACAAGATTATTTACATTTGTTTATATATATGTACATATATGTGTGTGTGTGAATATATATTACATACACATACACACACACCCCAATATATATTATAGCCTTCACCAGATTCTCAACAAGGTGCATGACCTGTTAATTTAAGGGTTTCAATCAAAGACCAGATCTCAAAAGAAATCTCATATCAACAGTACTGACAAATGCAAAGTAAATATTTAGGAATAAACAATCCAAATTACAAATCAAACTAAACGTGTCCTATTAAAAGATATAAACCACTTGGCTGGGCACAGTGGCTCACGCCTGTAATCCTAGCACTCTGGGAGGCCGAGGCAGGAGGATCGTTTGAGCCCAAGAGTGCGAGACCAACCTGAGCAAGAGTGAGACCCTGTCTCTACTAAAAAAATAGAAAGAAACTAGCTGGACAACTAAAAATATATAGAAAAAATTAGCCAGGCATGGTGGCGCATGCCTGTAGTCCCAGCTACTTGGGAGACTGAGGCAGAAGGATCGCTTGAGCCCAGGAGTCTGGGTTGCTGTGAGCTAGGCTGATGCCACGGCACTCTAGCCCGGGCAACAGAGTGAGACTCTGTCTCAAAAAATAAATAAATAAATAAAAACAAAAAAGATATAAACCACTAGAAAGTGGTTTAAAAATCATTAGAGAATTGTTCCTGTGTATTAATTACTCATTGTGTTATGGATAATAAAGATAAGTGAGTAATGGGCATCACCACAAGCAAAACGGAAAACACTCCCCTGCCTATGTTTAAAACTGTAATTCATCTGTGCTTAGAATACGTATATACTTCTGAAAACAACCTCAAAAAAGGCTTACAGCAACTGCATGTGGTTCACAATGATTTTAGAAAAAAATAAGTAGAGAAAGTTCAGATAGCTTAATGAGTACTAAGATAGAGTGGGCATCACTTACACGACTAAAAAGATTAACGCTCTACAAAATCCATAAAATCAAAAATGGCATGGTAAAAGTGAATGCAGATTTATTCACCAAGTTACAAAATAAGATAAGAGGGAACCCCTTTAGGCTTTAGGGTGGGAATCCAGAAAAAATACAAAAGAACAAAATTCCACCATAAAAAATAATAAATTTATAGAACTTATCATCCCAAGGGACTGCACTAGAGGGAAAAATAAATAAAATGCAAAAATTGTTTCCGTAAAAGTTACCACTCATTCCCCACCATATAAGGCCTTCGTGGATCATATTCCTTAAGCTACTGCTGGCTCACATTACACCAAGGGATGTAATATGGATAGGAATATGGATGTGACTCAATCAGGTGAGTCCCAATAGCTGTTTCTATATTTTCATTTCAGTTTTCTCCAGGATTGATAAGTTTCACAAGTGGCAAAGCAATTCTTTACTCATTGATTCACTATAGCATAGGGTAAGATAAAACCTAAAAGTAGAGAATATCCAACACAAAAACCAAAACTGACTGCAGTTCAGGCATTTATAATAGAATCTGTAAGGTAGGATGGACTTAGAAAAAGAAAGTATTAAGAATAGTAAGTTAACGGCCAGGCGCGGTGGCTCACGCCTGTAATCCTAGCTCTCTGGGAGGCC